AGTGCGCTGGCTTGCTTTTCTTGGTTCTCAAATGATGCAATCTGATAGAGCTGCAGCTTCCTGGTTGAGGGTTATTTTTTCATGCCTATATTTAAGATGCTTAATTTTGTGATTCATTCTTTATAATTAGATATAATGTTTAGAATATATCCATGTTTAACATTAACATTTTTCGGCCGGGCGCGGTGGCTCAAGCCTGTAATCCCAGCACTTTGGGAGGCCGAGGTGGGTGGATCACGAGGTCAAGAGATCGAGACCATCCTGGTCAACATGGTGAAACCCCGTCTCTACTAAAAATACAAAAAATTAGCTGGGCATGGTGGTGCGTGCCTGTAATCCCAGCTACTCAGGAGGCTGAGGCAGGAGAATTGCCTGAACCCAGGAGGCGGAGGTTGCGGTGAGCCGAGATCGCGCCATTGCACTCCAGCCTGGGTAACAAGAGCAAAACTCCGTCTCAAAAAAAAAAAAAAAAAAAAAAAAAAAAATTAACATTTTTCCTTTGAGGGCTACTATTTTCCCCTCTGAGCTGATCTTAACCACAACCTTTTTTTTTTTTTTTTTTTTTTTTTTTTTTTTTTTTTTTTAAACAAGGTCTCACTCTGCCACTCAGGCTGGAGTGCAGTGGCATGATCTTGGCTAACTGCCAACTGCAGCCTCCTGGGCCCAAGTGATCTTTCCACCTCAGCCTCACGAGTACACAAGTAGCTGGGACCACAGGTACACACTACCATGTCCAGCTATTTTACGTGTGTGTGTGTGTGTGTGTGTGTGTGTGTGTGTATTTTTAGTAGAGACAGGGTTTCACCATGTTGCCCAAGTTGACCTCGAACTCTTTTTTTTTTTTTTTTTTTTTTTTTGAGACGGAGTTTTGCTCGTTACCCAGGCTGGAGTGCAATAGCGCGATCTCGACTCACCGCAACCTCCGCCTCCTGAGTTCAGGCAATTCTCCTGCCTCAGCCTCCTGAGTAGCTGGGATTATAGGCACGCGCCACCTATGCCCAGCTAATTTTTTGTATTTTTAGTAGAGACGGGGTTTCACCATGTTGACCAGGTTGGTCTCGATCTCTCGACCTCATGATCCACCCTGCCTTGGCCTCCCAAAGTGCTGGGATTACAGGCTTGAGCCACCGCGCCCTGGCCGATCTCGAACTCTTGAGCTCAGGTGATCCACCTGGCTTAGCCTCCCAAAGTGCTGGGATTACAGGTGTGAGCCATGGTGCCCAGCCTCAACTGCAACCATAAATTTGCAATTGCCATGTGTCAGGAGAGTCCCAACTGTGTCTATGTGGGAAACTGACATTTCCCCCAAGGTTGGTGTGTGTGTTGGGGGGAGATCTGAATTATTATAGGGTTTCTTTGCCCCTTGGGCTCATGACTTCTAGAGTCTTGTGTGTGTGTGTGTGTGTGTGTGTGTGTGTGTGTGTAGATGATAGATAAGACAGATAGACAGACAGACAGACAGACAGACAGACAGACAGATACACACACCCCGGACCATGGACAGTTGACCCTTGAACAACATGGGTTTGAACTCTACGCGTCCACTTAAAAGCAGATTTTCTTCCTTCTCTGCCACTCCTGAGATAGCAAGACCAACCCTCCTCTTCCTCCTCAGCCTACCCAATGCAAAGATGATGAAGATGAAGACCTTTAAGATGATTCACTTCCACTTAATGTTATAGTAAATATATTTTTCCCTTCCTTAGGATTTTCTTAACATCTTCTTTTCTCTAGCTTACATCATTACAAGAATACTATATGAAATACATGTAACATACAAAGCATGTGTTAACTGACTTTATGTTATCCATAAGGCTATTAGTAGTTAAGTTTTGGGGAAGTCAAAAGTTATATGAGGATTTTTGACTGCATGGGGGTCGGCACCTCTAACCCCAGCGTTGTTCGAGAGTCAACTGCGTACCTTGTTAGCTTGAATTACAGCTCTTTTCTGGCCCACAGGCCCCACTTTTTTGGTTTCTTTGCCCCTTGGGCCTCATGATTTCTAGACAGTCTATTTCTTTTCTCTTTTGTCCATAGATATGGTTCAGCTGAATTAAGCATTCCTCAATACCAAGGCATTGAAAATAAAAGCAACCTATTTCCGAGAATAAAAGAGGAAAGCTGGCATGACACCAGCGGCCCCAGCTACTTACCCTAATCCGGATTCTAGAACACCCAGGCAGGGTCTGGGCACTCAGCTGCTAATAAAGGATTACATATTAATGATTGACTGGAGCCGGGCGCGGTGGCTCAAGCCTGTAATCCCAGCACTTTGGGAGGCCGAGGCGGGTGGATCACAAGGTCAAGAGATCGAGACCATCTTGGTCAACATGGTGAAACCCCGTCTCTACTAAAAATACAAAAAAAAAAAAAAATAGCTGGGCATGGTGGTGCGTGCCTGTAATCCCAGCTACTTAGGAGGCTGAGGCAGGAGAATTGCCTGAACCCAGGAGGCAGAGGTTGCGGATGAGCCGAGATCGCGCCATTGCACTCCAGCCTGGGTAACAAGAGCGAAACTCCGTCTCAAAAAAAAAAAAAAAAAAAAAAGTGATTGACTGGAACCAAGACTCGGTCATTGCTCAGCTTCAATTTTTCTTCCTTGCCTTTGTATTTTATGGTGGAAACCAAGAGGCTGGGCCTTGAAGCATTTCAGCAGCAAGCATGACATCCTCCACACCATACCCTCCAGCCTGGGGTTCAGCATTCTTCACCATTCCCATTCCCTGAACCCCTCGAATTCAGGAATAAAGGTAGAAACAAAAAGTGGGCAGCCCACACAGCAACAGGCAAAGGTGAAGGAACTATCCTGCAAGGAAGGGGGACTGAGAGGAAAACTCTTCACACATTTCTGCTTTTCTATCTTCCCTTTCCACTGTTTTGTTTGTTTGTTTGTTTTTTGAGATGGAGTCTCGCTCTGTCTTCCAGGCTGGAGTGCAATGGCGCGATCTTGGCTCACTGCAAACTCCACCTCCCAGGTTCAAGCAATTATCTTGCCTCAGCCTCCTGAGTAGCTGGGATTACAGGCGTGCACCACCACTCCCAGCTAATTTTTATATTTTTAGTAGAAACAGGGTTTCGCCATGTTGGCCAGGCTGGTCTTGAACCCTGACCTCCAGTGATCCGCCTCAGACTCTGAAAGTGCTGGGATTACAGGCATAAATCACTGCGCCCAGCCCCTTTCCACTATTTAATGCATGTCTACTTCTTCAGTCCTTTCCACAATTCCGTGATTAAGGATTATGTGCTCAAGCACCATACTCAGCATTTTGGTCTTCTTCGTGTTTTTCAAAATGCCCCTCTTGCCCCTGACACTCCCTTTTCTTTTCTTTGGCATCACCCACTTTCCCACAGGTAACTTTAAGAGTCTCTCCATTCTGCATTTTCAAGGACCTGGCTCCTTTCTTCGAAGTGAGTATTATAAGTTGGTCCTTGGGGACTGGGGAGAGAGGGACAAGTAGTTCCGAATAGCGCCTCAGGAGATAACACGGCAAAAGAGGAGTGTGTGGGCAGGTAACAGAGTAAAGACAACTGCAGAGTTTTTATTTCTATTCAGGATTTAAACACCTTTGTCATCAAAGTAGCTATGTCAGCATCAATAACCTGCTGATTATAAATGTATCCTTGGCAAACAGAAAGAGAATGAACCTTTAATGAATAATTGCCATCTGCCAGCACTGTGTAAGGCTACCGATTCTCAGTATTTTAGTCGTCAAGGACTCCTCTGAGATTCTAGAAGCTATGAAATCTCTCCCCTAGAAAAATGCAAATGTACACAAAATTGTACATAGAATTACGGGACGACAATTGTCCTGAGCATAACCACAGACCTTACATTAAAACCCTCTGTGCGAGGTCCTTGTTATTGAGGTGGGTATCATCCTCCCCACCTTACAGATGAGGAGACAGGAGGTTCCAGGACATACCCAAAGTCATATTCCTAATAAATTACAGCCATAGGCTGGGCACAGTGGTTCACATATATAATTCCAGCACTTGGGGAGGTTGAGGTGGGCAGATCACTTAGTCCAGGAGTTGAAAACCAGCCTGGCCAACATGGCAAAACCTCGTCTCTACAAAAAATACAAAAATTAACTGGGTGTGGTGGTACACACCTGTTGCCCCAGCCACTTGGGAGGCTGAGGTAGGAAGATCACCTGAGCCTAGGAGACAGAGGCTGCAGTGAGCCCACATCGCACCACTGCGCTCCAGCCTGGGTGACAGTAAAATGCTGTCTCAAAAAAGAAAAAGAAAAAAAAAAAAGGTAGCTGCTATAGACTGAATGTTTAAATTCCCACAAACTAATTTTGAAACCTAATCTCCAATGTGAGAGTATTAGGAGGTAGGGTCTCTGGAAGGAGGGGTCTTTGGGAATGTTTTTGGCAGGGCCCTCATGAATAGGATTACTGCTCCTCTAAAAGAAGCCCCAGAGAGATCCCTCGTCCCTTTCACCATGTGAGGTTACAGTGAACATGGTTGTCTGTGAACCAGGAAGTGAACCCTCAGCAGATACCCACTCTGCTGGCGCCATGCTCTTGGACTCCCCAGACTGCAGAACTGCAAGAAGCACATTAAGCCACCTAGCCTATGGTGTTCTGTTAAAGCAGCTGAAGCCCACTAAGACAGATGCAGGAACAACATTTCAAAATGGGTTGTCCAAACATTATCCCTTCTTGCCTCAGATGAAATAATCACCTAGGTTTTCCTGTTACTGTAACCGTCACTCCTTATTTTTAAATGAAGAAATAAGAATTATGTGAGAAACTGAAATCTATATGAAGCATTCTAGACTCAACCACAGAAAATTAGGGAGCTCAGGATCCCAGAGGCTCCAAATCATACTTCTTGTCAGCCAAAAGCCCCACTCCTCCTGAACATACCCACACAGCTAAAAACAAGCCAAAGAGAAGCCTTTCTAGAGGCTTTACTTTCCTCAGAAAAAGAAAAAAAAAAAAAAAATCAGCAGCCAAAATGTGAACTAATAGACCAGTCAAAGCCTCTGCATATGAAACCAAAAAAAAAATTTTTTTTAATTTCAGAATATTACAAGAATATAAAAGAAAGATAATGCATAGGATTGTTTCTTTACAATTACATACATATAGTCAAGTAAGAATGAAAAATTCAAACCAAACAGTTAAGAAACCTTGTTTCTCTTGTTTAGCAAGCTCAGGGATGGGACAAAGGCAACCTTTGCTCTGCAGAAAGAACCCTGGGGTGAGGGAATATTTCCCCCAACAGGCTCTGTCTGTCCCCAGACATGGCCAGGGGAGGGCTCCATGGCTCTTTAGAACAGGCTGTGGCCTCACACACTACCATGGAGACTCCAGTCTCCATGGTAACCCAAGCACTCAGGCTGTGTCCCACTCCTCCTCGCTAGCCTGCTTCTGTCAACTCTACGCCGGTAGAAGGATCTCAGCATTAGCTGTCTATGGAAGCTAGCTTCCATAGTTTTAGGTGCATTAATCAACACTGGTATCAAAAGCTTGTCCATCTTAGGAACCCAACTCTTCCCCAAATTCTAGACAATCCCACAAAATGCTGGCATCTAGGTTTAGACTTAGGTCCTATCTTCCATTTGAAGGCTTCAGGGTAAAGGAGGACAGGGATGAGGCTCTCTCCTGGGGAAAGGAGTTCTACACAGAAATGACCTCCGAATGGGGGCCATTAGCCTCAAGCATCTATGTGAGGCCTTGTAGGAAAGGAGACAGAGTCTGGAGCATCTATTCCTAAAAATCACACAGCTGCATGGCCAGTCACTGTGGCGCATGGTCCCAATGACCACAGGTTCTCCTAGAAGGCAGTATTTTCAACCGCATGCTAACATAGGCTCGTGTGGGGAAAGCCGGAAAAAAAATATTTCTACTCAGGAAGAGAGAATGGCTCTGCTCTGACAATCTAGGATCAACTGCTTCGTTACAGGTCAACAGAACAGATACCTCCGAGGCACCCAGATGTCACTACAGTCAACAGCCCTCCCCTAGCCCATCTCCCAGGGATGTTCCCTTGTCCTTCCTGAATGACTCTGGAAGGACATTCTAGGTAAAGAGCTTTCCTTTGCGGAGGATCAACTGTAGTTATGATTACAATTCATTACTTGCTCCTTTTTTTACAGTTCATTACCTGCTCCTATTTTGGCACTCAGGTACAAAGCTAACTTCCTACAGTGGGTTTTAGTTGAGTTAATCACCATTGCTGTCAAAAGCTTGTGCGTCTCTTCTCCTGAAACTCTTTCACTGCTGCAGCAGAGTTTTTCACACCAGATTTACTGGTCCCAATGCAAAAAGTTTATCACTGTAAAAGGTGAGAAACTCCAGTTCTCACTAATTCAGCTAGTGGAGTTCACACAGTGCAGTCTGAATCAGGGAGGCGGCCTACAATTTCATATGTGTATCCCTCTGGCACAAACACAATGCCCCATACTGACACCACATCAAAGCCCATCACAGGTGACCCCAGAAAGAAATGAAGTTGTAAAAGCCACAAGAAGAGGTACTTCCAAAGAGATTGTTCCAACGTGAAAAATAAACACAATGAAACAGATTCAAAAAAAATCTTATAGATGAAAAAATTCTGTTAAATACTGGCTGAAAAAAAATACCTGCCCACCAAATCACAAGGGAGACAGCAGCCTTCTGTGGCAAATGATAAAAGGAGTTTTGTCTGCGTTTTCCATAAGATTCCACAGGATTAGAGTAATTGCATATCACAAGGTAGAAGGCTATGCTGCTTACTCCTCAAATTTGGATTCTAAGTCAATCACAGCTTTTATTTAGAAAAATGACCTATAAAACCCCTAAGGCAAGGGAAAACATATTCAATAAATAAACAAAACACCCATAAACTGCCCAAGGAGACCAGTTATATAAAGGCATGTGCAAGTGATAAACATCTCTCTCACCACCCTCACCCTAGAACACAACCCTTGCTTACTGATTCCATTCACCCAAAGAGCATCTACATCCGTCTAAATCTCAGCTACTTCCCTCAAATAGAACCAAAAACTAATGCAATGACAAGGAGCTATTAGATAACCACTCTGCTCCTCTACCTGATGCCAGCCCATGTTTAAAAGACCACAGCATCACTTCAAGGTGAATGAAACACAAGTAAATAAATAAAGGAAGGAAGAGTTAAGAGAGAACACGATTTCAATTTGGTGATACCAAAAAGGTTTTCTGTCTGAATTAACAATATCTGGTATAAGGGATTTCACTTTCTTAATAAGAAAAAAATAGTCAAATATTTAATAGAAACCTACGCAAATGAACTTGCTAATAAGTGTTTTTAAAAATGACCTAAAGCTACTCTAGAGAAAGGGGCTTTTAAGCAGTTTTGTTTTCCTAACCATCTATTGTTCACACTCTATTAAGTTGGAAGACCAAATTTTACATTTTTCTCCACTATTGCTGTTACAGCAGCAAAAGCAGCAGAAAGGCTGGCAGAGAGGGCTGCCAGCTGGGCACAGGGCCAAACTGCTCCCCCAAAGTCGTCTTTCATTTCGGCAATAGCGCAGCACATTCAACAGCTTAGAAATAGGTCAGAAAACCACATTTTGTGGGACAACTGCTTCCCCATAGTGGCCTGACTCGGCTCCAACCCACAGGGTGAGAAGGGTTGTACAGATCCACAGAGCCAGGCAGCATTCTCTCTGCCACATGCTGCTCTCTGGGCAGAAACCAGTTCCTACGAGGTCAAAGCCAGGCCACTGCTCCCTCCAACATATGTGAACACACCAAATCCAAAAGCCAAAAGTTCTGGCCCCACCTGTGCCCCTTCTGACAAGGAGAGGGCGGCGCAGTAACACTCCTTGAACACTGTTGATAAGCCACAGCTGCTTCCAAATAAGAACATTCTCGCCTTTAAATCCTGTCAGCCCTGCAGAGGCTGCTGCTTGCTTCTTTTTTCAGGAGACGGTCTAGACTGCACTGTGAGAGAGTACACTATAACCCCACCCATAAAGAGTCATCCTGGGACATAAAGGCAGCCAGCCCCCTCCCAGGCACATTCCAGAGCTTCCCCCACATACAGATATTTCAGCAAACTTCTAATGTGCTGTCAGGGACTTTTCTTGAGTCACAGTGATTTGGTTCACAAGTATTACGTTGGCATCGGAGATGTTTTAGTTAAGAGGAAACTGAATGAAGGTAACAAGTTCAGCAAAACACAATTATTTTCACATCACTGGCGAAATGGGAAGAGAGATGGACAAGGGAGGGGAAAATGAAGGGAAGGAAGGAAAAGAGTTTAATAATTACTATTTGTTAGAATATTATATTATCCTGACTTCTCCTGTTTCAATACTGCAGGTCAAATACTCTTTGATGTCAGACCCAAGAAATAATAAAAAATGTCCAGGAAAGCTATAAATTCTTTGGACACAAATTAGGTATTGAGGAATATAGCCTCATAAGATAAAGAGTTTTCCCAAAGCTCAAAGTGAAAAAGTGGGAAAGGCACCTAGCTTGCAGTCCATCCAAAAACATGGCTTTTAAAACAAAGAAATAAACAAACAAAAACAAGCAAATACCCAACACTGTCAAAACAGAGACAACCCCAAAATATCCATTAAAAATAACATCAATCCACTAGGATTGACGGTGCTTTTTAAAAAATTACTGGCAGCTGAGCACACATTTCCTATTTTTTTCAAACGCGTAATCTGCCTAAACACACTGAATGAGCACGGAGCCCACCTTAGTGTGCTGTATAAACTGGTTGGATAGTTAGTGGTTTCCCCATAATATTAACAAAGAGAAAGAGAACCTAAGCACTCTCTCAGAAGGCACAGCTTGCAGACGTTATCCAGTGAGCGGGATTAGAGGTATCAGTCGGGTCATGGTATTAGTTGGCTTTCACAATTCAAAATGCAGCAAGCAAGCTGCAAGTCCAAGCTTCGCTGTGGCAGGAATAACACCTGGCCCACTAAAGAGAAAATTCTGCGTGGACCACAGGAGAGAACTCTGGATCCTTCAGAGGAATCCTAGGTTGAAGGAAAAACAAGAGCATTAGACATGTTCTTAAATATTTCTTTTTGCAAACATCTCACCCAAAAGCTACAGGGTCTACACTTAATATTTTCTCCAAACTGAGGATTCATTAATCCTCAGTCACAAATTAAGAATTTGTGGCCGGGCACGGTGGCTCAAGCCTGTAATCCCAGCACTTTGGGAGGCCGAGGCAGGTGGATCACAAGGTCAAGAGATCGAGACCATCCTGGTCAACATGGTGAAATCCCGTCTCTACTAAAAATACAAAAAATTAGCTGGGCATGGTGGCGCACGCCTGTAATCCCAGCTACTCAGGAGGCTGAGGCAGGAGAATTGCCTGAACCCAGGAGGTGGAGGTTGCGGTGAGCCGAGATCGCACCATTGCAGTCCAGCCTGGGTAACAAGACTGAAACTTCGTCTCAAAAAAAAAAAAAAAAAAAAAAAAAGAATTTGTGACTCTACCAAATAAACATCTGCCTGATCTAAACTCATTCATTAAATCATCTTAATGGCTATAACAGCTAATAGTAAGTGCATATTTTGTGCTGCTTGAAGAATTTTTTGGGGGGGCAGGGTGATGGAGTCTTGCTCTGTCACCCAGGCTGGAGTACAATGGTGTGATCTCAGCTCACTGCAACCTCCGCCTCCCATGTTCAAGAGATTTTCCCACCTCAGTCTCCCGAGTAGCTGAGATTAAAGGCACCCGCCACTACACCAGGCAAATTTTTGTATTTTTAGTAGAGACAGGGTTTCACCGTGTTAATCAGGCCGGTCTCGAACTCCTGACCTCAGGTGATTGCCCACCTCAGCCTCCCAAAGTGCTAGGATTACAGGCATGAGCCACCACACCCGGCCTCTAAGTTCTTTATGTACGTTATTTCATTTATCCTCACAATAAACAGTATATGAGATACTACTCCTACCAATTTACAGAGAAAGAACCTGCAGCCTACACAGTTCACTTGCCTGAGGACTAATTTTTAGCTAGTAAGCAGCAAAACTGGGAATGGAACCCAAGCCCAACTGAAGGCAGTACTCATGCTGTGAGTAAAAGAAGACCAAGCTGTAAAGAGACAGGAGAAGCAAGAGCAGAAAAGAGCAGAGAACTTAAGATAGAGCCTTGAAAAAAATAAAGATGTAGTAGAATAGGCAAACAACAGTAAGCCACTGCAGATAAGAAAAAGAGTTAAAGAGGAAGAAGGAGAACGAGAGTAACGTAGCATCATAACACCGAGGAAAGCATTTCCAGATACAGGAAGTGACCAGGACAGAGTAAAGTGAAAGTGCCATTGCTTGATCCAATTGAGGGTCATTCATTAGCTCGACTTCTCTGAACTACTAACATTTTTGAGGGTCTGATTAGAACTATATATTCTCGCCCCCAGAAATATACGAATATGCACCTACATAAAAGATTGCACCAACAATACCAGGAACTGTATTGGACCATTTAGGAAGTCCACAGATGACAGGTCAAGATTCCCTGCTCTAACACTTGCTGGTGAAATATTAAACTGGTTTTTTAAAAAATGTCTTTCTTTCTTTCCAAGGTAGAGTTGTCAATACAAAAAGATATTATTTCTGGATGCCTTTCAAAAATGAAAGCAACAAAAGGTGTAACTGATACAAAACAACTTAGCCTTCAAAAATAACTTATGCTTGGTTTTGATTCATGGACATACAGAAATATTTAGACACAAAAAACCCAAACACTGATCCTCTCTCAATTAGACAGCCCAGCCTAGAAGACAAAAGCAAGGAGAAAAGAAAAGAGAGCTTAGATAATTCATTCAAGGATAAGTAAGAAGACGATACTGAAATCTCATTTTCCAGAAAAGAATTTATCCATAAGGATTAGGCTTTTGTTCTCTTTCTATTGCTGATGTCTCAAATAGTAATTATGCTCATATTCCAGCAATAAGATGATCATGTCAAACCATACGTCACTTCAGCTGCCACATAAGCCTTACATAACACAACCAAGTTTCATCCGGTTTTCTATAGTAACAACTATAACCACTTATTAATGGTTTAACAATTACAAAGTGCTGCCAAAACATTATTTCAATGGAGCCTCATAATAAATTAATAAATCTGTGAAGTAGATGTAACTTTTATCCTCATTTTCAGAGAAGAAAACGAGTTCAGAGAGAATGAGTGGCTTTCCTGGGTCAGAAGAATGATAACTCCAATCAGGACTAACCACAAATCTCACGGCCTTTCCATGGACCCACTTGGCTCCTTCAGAGGAAGGCACAGCAGCCTTTTACAAGAAGAGCCTGGGACAATCAGCAGTCCCAGCATTAAATAGTCTTCTTTGTCCTCAACAGCCCTCAAAATATGCTGTATGATATGACTTCCAGGATCCTTAGGCATGAGCTGTTGATCTGGAAAGCTTCACTAATTAAGCCTAGCCTATACAGAAAAGGAACCTAACTATTCCTTAAGCATACTCCCAGCACTGTTGTATTTGGTTCCACGAATTCGTTTACATTTGTTTGTAATTTGCTTTGCGAGTATTCTTAAGGTCTTTTCCCCATGTGTCCTGGCTGTCCAAGAACTCAGGAACCATGTGTGTCTGTATTCACAGCTCTACCCCTTGGCACCCGAGACAGTGCTGAGTAGATGGCTCAATAACCATCTGGTGATGAACTCAAGGGCAAGGATCTGGCTTTGTAATTTTTATGTCACTTCTGACTACAAATGTACTATCCTAGGAATTCAAACAAATGCTACTGATTAGATGCAAAAAGAAATTACATTTAGTAAGAACATAGAGTAAGTACAGTTAGTACCTTTTTTCCCCTCTTTCTTTCCTTCAGACCACTTCAATCTTGTTGGTGTCATCGTGACAGCTGGAGAGCCAGAAAATAACTGAAATAAGAAAATTGTACAGTGGTTTCAATGTTCTAAAGGCATTCCTATAAACAGACTTTACTAACAAAGTAATTATTGACTTGTTCAGTTTCAACGTCAAGAGTTTTTCTGAGACTGATGTATTTATATATCATTAATCTTAACTGATTTGCTACCGGCTGAATGAAGTAAGCATGCCTAGGATATCTTGAAGCACCACCCCACAAGTAATGCAGAGCCAAGGAGGCCTGGTTCAAATGTCACCTGCCTGTGTAGTCTCCCAGTAAGAACTAACTGCTTCCTCCAGCACTTGTTTAAGGAGCTACTGTACTGTACTACTCATCTGCTTGTGACTAGTGATATCCTTCTTTTTTTTTTTTGAGACAGAGTTTCGCTCTTGTTACCCAGGCTGGAGGGCAATGGCGCGATCTCGGCTCACCGCAACCTCCGCCTCCTGGGTTCAGGCAATTCTCCTGCCTCAGCCTCCTGAGTTGCTGGGATTACAGGCACGCGCCACCATGCCCAGCTAATTTTTTGTAATTTTAGTAGAGACGGGGTTTCACCATGTTGACCAGGATGGTCTCGATCTCTTGACCTTGTGATCCGCCCGCCTCGGCCTCCCAAAGTGCTGGGATTACAGGCTTGAGCCACCGCGCCCGGCTAGTGATATCCTTCTTGAACCCAAAATGTGTTTGTCTGTCTGTTGAATGAATCAATGAAAACCAACAGAAAAAAAGGTAGCACAAATGAAAGGATTGAGAAAAAGCCATTTGAATGGCCCAAAGAAACACAGTAAAACCGATGACAGTTTATCAGTTTTCCTCTTTTCTACAAATACATACAAAAAGACAGACAGTCCAAAGAACAGTTTCTTACTAAGTTCACATTTTCTTTGCTGGCTCCCTTCAATTCACCAAGGGCTACAGATTCTGGAGTGGGGTTCTTCTTTTTCTTTTCTGACATCATCTGATTTCCCAGGACCTTCCGCTGATTTAAGAACAGAAAACATTTGATTTATAAACACTTACTGTATCTATAGTGGAGCTATACTAGCCTTCAAAACTATAATGTTCTTAGGTTAAAAAAAATCTCAGCATTCTGATAATTCTGTATGGATCCTCTCAGGCCATCTTACATAAGAGAGGCCAAAGCATGTTAGCAAAATCATTACTTTTGTTTAAGTAATCACTTTTCCTCCACATTTAAAAGGGCTGAAATGTTAGAAGTAACTTTATAATTTATTTAAACAAGCTAATAGGTCAATTACAGTGTGCCTCTGAGACGAGTTACTCACCGTATAGAAATACCAGTTACTGACCATGTAATTTTTTCCCCAAAGATGTGCTGTCTCTGGCAACTATTTAAAAAGTCCTTCCCCCAACTCACCACTAAGGGATACTTAGGCTGGCTCTTCTCTAAGATACTTTTTCCTCTCTGTCACTTCCTCACACAGGACTGGAACATTCGGAGACATTCTCTAAGAGTTCCTAATAAAGCCACAAGAAGGTAGACGCCTTCTTAAGAGGGTCATATGACTATACTGACATGCAAAGCAAGACTAAAAGCCCTTTCATCTCTGAGCAGCTTAGAAGATGATGTAATTTACATAACCGCTGACAGTGACAATTCTACCATCTTTGGAGAAATCTTTCCTATTTTCCCTTAGAGAATAAATTTGAATTCCAAAAAAAGAACATCTCAAAACTAGAACATTAAACCCTACATTATAAATACTAGCAGCAATATTCAGAACATTCTGATTTAATAAATAATTGACATGAGAGAAGTTCTGGAGGAAAAACCTCTAACCAAAAAAGGGATCGAGACAGGCTAGATGGTCCATTATACCTTGATAAGGCTGAGGGAAAACACAAATTAAAAATAATATTTTAGGCCAGGCATAGTGGCTCATGCCTGTGATCCCAGCACTTTGGGAGGCCACGAGTTCGAGACCAACCTAGTCAATACGGTGAAATACCATCTCTACTAAAAATACAAAAATTAACCAGGCATGGTGGCACATGCCTATAATCCCAGCTACTCAGGAGGCCAAAGCATGAGAATCACTTGAACCCAAGAAGTGGAGGTTGCTATGAGCTGAGATCATGCCACTGCACTCCAGTCTACACAACACAGTGAGACTCTGTCTCACAAAAATAAATAAATAAAAAGACTAACACATAGAGAAACAGTTATCTGACTATAACTTTTCTGATTATCAATCATCTCTATGACAGGGAAGTCAGAGGGAACGACAGATTTTTCCAACTGAGAAGAAAAAAAATGAGAGTAAACTAAGAATGTTCATTTTACTAGCTCTGTCTAAGCAGGTAAATGCACTTTTAGAATTCTAATTAAGAGAACTTTTTTAAACAATGATAAAATATACATAACATTTACCATTTGATCCATTTTTAAGTATACAGTTCAGTGGTATTAAGTATATTCACAGTGTTGTGCAACCATCACCATCAACCATCTTCAGAACTTTCTCATCCTCCCAAACAGAAATACTGTACCCATTAAATAATATCTCCCCATTCTCCTCAAACTCTTAGCTCCCCTGACAACCAACCACCTTCTCTACTTTCTGTCTCTATGAACTTGGCTTGTAGGTACCTCAGTGGAATCATACAATATTTTTCCTTTTATGACTAAATTATTTCTCTTAGCATAATGTCTTCAAGATTCATCCATGTTGTAGAATATGTCAGAATTTCCTTCCCTTTTAAGGACAAATAATGTTCCATTATCTGTATATCCAAATTTTGTTATCCATTCATCTGTCAATAGACAGTTGAGTTGCTTCTGCCTTTTGGCTATTGTGAATAACGGTGCTATGAATACAGGTGTATGAATATTGCCTCGAGACCCTGCTTTCAATTCTTTTGGGTATATACCAGGAGTATGGTGATATTGAACATTTTTTCATGTATTTCTTGGCAATATGTACAACTTCTCTGGAGAAATGTCTATTTAAGTCCTTTGCCCACTTTCTTTTTTTGGAGACAGAGTCTCGCTCTGTCACCCAGGCTGGAGTTCAGTGACGCAATCTCAGCTCCTGGATTGACTGCAACCTCCGCCTCCTGGATTCAAGCAATTCTCCTGCCTCAGCACCCAGAGTAGCTGGGACTACAGGTATGTGCCACCACGCCCGGCTAATTTTTAGTTTTAGCAGAGATGGGGTTTCACTGTGTTAGCCAGCATGGTCTCAATCTGCTGACCTCATGATCCACCCGCCTCGGGCTCCCAAAGTGCTGGGATTACAGGTGTGAGTCACCATGCCCGGCCTTTATCTACTTTTTAATGAGGTTGCTTTTACTGTGCTGAGTTATAGAAGTTCTTTGGATTATTATGGATATTAATACCTAATCATATAAATGATTTGCAAATATTTTCTCCCATTCCAGGGGTTGCCTTTTCACTCTGTTATTGGCAAAGGAAATTTTGATGTCAAGTAAGCCTAATGTCCCAGAAGCTACTGGCCCCAGGAAGTCAGGATTAAGAATAAATTCTAGATATCTATAAATTATAACTAGGACCAAAATTACAGTAAGATGAATTTTTAAATACTGACAGCTGTACCTTAAAAAAAAAATTATAGGTACAGTGGCTCACATCTGTAATCCCAGTACTTTAGGAGGCCAAAGCAGGAAGATCGCTTGAGCCCAGAAATTCAAGACTAGCAACACAGATTGGGCATAGTGGCTCATGCCTGTAATGCCAGCACTTTGGGAGGCCAAGGCAGGTGGATCACCTGAGGCCAGGAGTTCGAGACCAGCCTGGCCAACATAATGAAACCCCATCTCTACTAAAAATACAAAAAATTAGCCAGGCATGGTGGTGGGCACCTGTAATCCCAGCCACTCAGGAGGCTGAGGTGGAAGAACCACTTGAACCACGGAGGTGGAGGTCGCAGTGAGGTGAGATCACACCACTGCACACCAGCCTGAGGGACAGAGCAAGACTCTGTCTTAAAAAAAAAAAAAAAAAAAAAAAAAAAAAAAAAAAAAAACAGCAACACAGCAAGTCTCCATCTCTACAGTTTGTTGTTGTTGTTGTTGTTGTTTTGAGACAGAGTTTTGCTCTTGTTGCCCAGGCTAAAGGGCAACGTTCCGAACTCAGCTCACCACAAGCTCTGCCTCCTGGGTTCAAGCGATTCTCCTGCCTCAGCCTCCCAGATAGCTGGGATTATAGGCATGCACCACCACAGCCAGCTAATTTTGTATTTTCAGTAGAGACAAGGTTTCTCCATGTTGGTCAGGCTGGTCTCAAAATCCCGACCTCAAGTGATCCGCCCACCTTGGCCTCCCAAAGTGCTGGGATTACAGGCATGAGCCACCACGCCCAGCCTACAAACATTTAAAAATCGCCTAGGCATGATGGCATGCACTTGTGGTCCCAGCTACTTTGGAGACTGAAGTAGGAGGATCACTGAGCCCAGGGGATCAATGCTACAATAAGCTATGATGGTGCCACTAGTACTTCAGCCTGGGCAACAGAGCAAGACCCTGTCTCAAAAATAAATAAATAAATATTACAAGTTATTTATTTTTTAGGGCAAAAAATTTAAGCTCCTTATGTTCCTGGAATTATATATCTTAGTAATGACAAAACAATTAAAAAAAAAAAAAAGCAGTGTGAAACACCAAAAATTAAAATAAAAAGAAGCCATTATCCTCAGCAAACTAACACAGGAACAGAAAACCAAACACTGCATGTTCTCATTTATAAGTGGGAGTTGACCAGGCATGGTGGCTCAGGCCTGTAATCCCAGCACTTTGGGAGGCTGAGGCAGGTAGATCACTTGAGGTCAGGAGTTTGAGACCAGCCTGGCCAACATGGTAAAACCCGTCTCTACTAAAAATACAAAAATTAGCCAGCCATGGCGGCAGGCACCTGTAATCTCAGCTACTTGGGAGGCTGAAGCAGGAGAATAGCTTGAACCTGGGAGGCTGAAGTTGCAGTGAGCTGATACCAAGCCACTGCATTCCAGCCTGGACTACACAGTGAGAGTCCGTCTCCAAAAAAAAAAAAAAAAAAAAAAGTGGGATCTAAACAATGAGAACACATGAACACAGGGAAGGGAACAACACATACTGGGGCCTGTTGGGGGGTTGGATGGCGGAAAGGAGAGTATTAAGAAAAACAGCTGGCCAGACACAGTGGCTTACACCTGTAAAACGAGCACTTCGGGAGGCTGAGGCGGGCAGATCACTGAGGTCAGGAGTCCAAGACCAGCCTGGTAAATATGGTGAAACCCCCTAAAAAGACAAAAATTAGCCAGGCTTGGTGGCAGGCACCTATAATCCCAGCCACTTGGGAGGCTGAGGCAGAAGAATTGCTTGAACTTGAGAGGTGGAGGTTACAGTGAGCCAACACTGTGTCATTGCACTCCAGCCTGGGCGACAAGAGTGAGACTCTGTCTCAAAAAAATTGTTTTAAGAAAAATAGCTAATGCATGCTGGGCTTCATACCTAGGTGATGGGTTGACAAGTGCAGCAAACCACCACGGCACACATTTACCTATATAACAAACCTGCACATCCTGCACATGTACCCCAGAACTAAAACTGAAAAAAAAAAAAGAGATACTCAGTGCTTTGGGGGCAGCAATCTCTTCCAAAAATGAAAAACAGAAAAGAAAAGCAGCGAATAGTACTAATCTCTCTCCAAGTTAACCAAAACCTTGCCTTAGTTCATGCATGGAAATTTTAACCTCATGAGCAAGTTACCTACTGCCACCTGATGGCAATATTTCTCCACTACAAGTTCCAATTGTCTTGTACATTTAATCTGCAAACATGGTAATAGAAGCAATAACATGAAAGCATATTTTTGTATTTGTTTTAAAAACAAGACTTTTACTGAATTTGATACATGGAAGAAAGTACAACAACTGTTAAAAATATTAAGCTCACAAAAATTTGGGGTACCAAAACTCACTAGCCTATTAGAAAATCCAGTTTTCTAACAGTTTCCCTAGTCTGTCTCAGCTTCCTCACTTCTCCAAGGGGGGAGATGCAAATTGCATCAAGAAGTGTGTAACTCAAAGCAGGTCAGAAAACAAGAGACCCCTTACACTGCTCAGGAATATGGACACTGTCCTCAGCCCTAGAAGAAAAGGAAGGACCCTTACTTCTATTATTCCTCACTTCATAGAGCCCCTTCTCTGATTTGAAAAACAGCAAAGCACTTTGAAAAATAAAGGCCAGCATGGTGTCTCACACCTGTAGTCTCAGCACTTTGAGAGGCCAAGGCAGGTGGATTACCTGAGGTCAAGGGTTCAACACCAGCCTGGCAACATGGTGAAACCCTGTTTCTACTAAAAATACAAAAAATTAGCCCGGGATGGTGACATGCACCTGTAACCCCAGCTACTTGGGAGGCTGATGCAGGAGAATTGCTCAAACCCAGGAGGTGGAAATTGCAGTGAGCCAAGGTTGCACCATTGCACTCCAGTTTGGGCAACAAGAGTGAAACTCCATCTCAAAAAAAAATAAAAATAAAAATAAAAGCTTTTCCACATTCTGTCTTTACCCTCTTATAAATTAGCCCTTTATAGCTTTGCACAGTGGTAGTATTGTAGCCAATGAGGTTTATCCAATGCACGATTATTGCTAATTGAAAACTTTTCCTAATACCGTGCCATGACGACTTGAAATATAGTCGGCGTTGGCAATTTTTGGCAGTCTTTACGGAGACTGAATCATAAAAAAAAAAAAAAATAGCCCTTTATAGGATTCCCCCCTCAAAAAAAATACAAGAAAACTGTTTATGCATTTAAAAAAATCACGCTGTTACATTTCCTAAAACTCAATGCTAAAAACGACAGCCCAGAATACCTACCTTAATAAGCCCACTGAAGGAGCGTGAACGGGCCCTCTTTTGTACCTGGTAAGTAGAAGGTTCTCGCCCTGGTGTCTGGGTCAGTGATTGCTTATTAAACTAAAAGAAAACATAAACAACATTGATAAATATTTTCCCAACAGGACATAGCATTCTGTGACAACCAATAGCTAAGTGTAAATAAAAGTCCAGGAAAAAGTAAGCCTGCACATAGGTAGATTAGGAAGTCAGCAAGCAAATCACAAAGTCAGAAGTGATGATGCCAAAATGGATTCAATTGCTCTGAGTGGCTCTGCATGCCACATTCCTTGAATGTGGAAATACTATTCCTATTTTACAGATCAAAAAAGTGAGACTTTGGTCGAGCTCAGTGGCTCACGCCTATAATCCCAGCACTTTGGGAAGCCAAGGCGGGTGGATCACCTGAGGTCAGGTGTTCGAGACCAGCCTGACCAACATGGAGAAACTCCATCTCTACTAAAAGTACAAAATTAGCCTGGCATGGTGGCGCATGCCTGTAATCCTAGCTACTTGGGAGGCTGAGGCAGGAGAATCGCTTGAACCCGGGAGGTGGAAGTTGCAGTGAGCTGAGATTGTACCATTGCACTCCAGCCTGGGCAAGAGGAACAAAACTCTGTCTGAAAAAAAAAAAACAAAAAACTGAGACTTGGAGAGCTTATGAAATCTACCCAAGATCCCCAGCTGCTAACCAAGACTTCTTTGCAACAAAGCATCTTGGACACAAAGAGTTACTGGCACAATCTAAAACAATTCCTAATTTAACACAAACTGTATACAGAATCTTTTTAAGTTACTATCTGTTATGACTGCCTGCCAACAATATAATCAGAGGAAATACATCAAAATGCAGACCTGTCATGCTATCAATTTCTCTGGAGGTATCTAAAGTAGAAAACGGGAAGCCCCAATGCACTGAATAATCTTATTCAATGCTTTGATTAGCCATTCATTTCCCACTTAAAAAATACTAATAATACAACATTTAATTCTTCTACTCTTCTGCCTTTTGTTTTTCTATTGATCTTTTTTTTATTTTTATTTTTTGGAGACACAGTCTGACTCTGCTGCCCAGGCTGGAGTGCAGTGGCAGGATCTCAGCTCACTGCAACCTCCATCTCCAAGAGTTCAAGCGATTCTCATGCCTCAGCCTCCTGAATAGCTGATATTACAGGTGTGCACCACCACACTCAGCTAATTTTTTCTATTTTTAGTAGAGATGGGGTTTCACTGTGTTGGTCAGGCTGGTCTCGAACTCCTGGCCTCAGTGATCCGCCCACTTCATCTTCCCAAAGCGCTAGGATTACAGGCATGAGCCACCACACCCAGCCTCTTCTGCCTTTTCTTATCATGCTTTTAAAATTTCAGTAGTGTAAAAATTTGGGGCTAGGCAAGGTGGCTCACACCTATAATTCCAGCACTTTGGAAGGTCAAGGTGGGCAGATGACCTGAGGAGTTTGAGGCCAGCCTGACCAACATGGAGAAACCCCGTCTCTACTATAAAAAAAAAAAAGTTTTAAACAAATTTAAAAAAAAAAAAAAGTTAGCTGGACGTGGTGGTGCACGTCTGTAATTTCAGCTACTTGGGAGGCTGAGGCAAGAGAATTGCTTGAACTCAGGAGGCGGAGATTGTGGTGAGCCAAGATCGCCCCATTGCACTCCAGCCTGGGAAACAAGAGCGAAACTCCATCTCAAAAAAAAGATTTGGAAATTTTATCAGTTCGAGTTCTGGAGGTTAAAAAATTACTTTTATATAAAGGTACCAAGAGGTTCTAAAGTTAATTACCTCAGCAGGCAGAAAAATCAGCCACATCTAAAGAGCTTAGCTAGTAAGTATCCCTACTGAACACATTGGGACAAGTAAAAACCCATTGTTCCTAATATTGGCAAGAGTACAATAAGGTAAATTCTCTCATATCGAACTCAAGGGAGTGTTAACTTGCAAAATGTTCTGGGAAGGTATTTGGCAAGGTGTATCCAGAGTCTTTAAAAAATGCATATTAAAAAGTACATGATGCCAGGCGCGGTGGTTCAAGCCTGTAATCCCAGTACTTTGGGAGGCCGAGGCAGGTGGATCACGAGGTCGAGAGATTGAGACCATCCTGGTCAACATGGTGAAACCCTGTCTCTACTAAAAATACAAAAAACTAGCTGGGCGTGGTGGCGCGTGCCTGTAATCCCAGCTACTTAGGTGGCTGAGGCAGGAGACTTGCCTGAGCCCAGGAGGCGGAGGTTGTGGTGAGCCGAGATCATGCCATTGCACTCCAGCCTGGGTAACAAGAGCGAAACTCCCTCTCAAAAAAAAAAAAAAAAAAAAGTACATGACACTAGAAATACGAAAAATTAGCCAGGCATGGTGGCATGCACCTGTAGTCTCAGCTACTCGAGAGGCTGAGGTGGGAGGATCACGATCACCTGAGCCCAGGGAGGCTGAGGCTGCAGTGAGCCATGCTTGTGCCACTGTACTCTAGCCTGGGCAACAGACTCAAAAAAAAAAAAAAAAAAAAAAGTATATATCACATACTTTGTTTTTCTAAAAAGTGTAAAATGTTTTTCTTTCTTATCTTTAAGTCTCAGTGTTCTTGTTGAAAGAAGTCATTATACCTGTCCTACATGAAACTACTTAGCTGCTATCAAGAATTCAATTACTAGACTGGTTTGAATCTGCACCAGTACTCAGCCAACACCCTGTAAAATTCCAGTTGTAACATAGTTTGCTAGGTCTCAAAGTAACTTCAAGGAGAGTGGCAGAAACTTCTCTTAAATGATTTTGTCAATTCTTAAGAAAAGCTCAGTTCACCATTATCTGAGTATTTGTTCATATCTGGCCTTATGCTGAGAGTAGGTATGAAATAAATTAAAAAAGACTCTTCCCCAAGAAAATCCCAGTTGAATAAAAAGTCAAGACGCTGACCTTGCCCGTTCAGGTAAAATTCTAAAAGGTCTGAGACAAAATTAATCTCCTGAAAAAGAAACTACCCGCCAGGCGCGGTGGCTCAAGCCTGTAATCCCAGCACTTTGGAAAGCCGAGGCGGGTGGATCACAAGGTCAAGAGATCAAGACCATCCTGGTCAACATGGTGAAACCCTGTCTCTACTAAAAATACAAAAAATTAGCTGGGCATGGTGGCGTGTGCCTGTAATCCCAGCTACTCAGGAGGCTGAGGCAGGAGAATTGCCTGAACCCAGGAGGTGGAGGTTGCGGTGAGCCGAGATCGCGCCAGTGCACTCCAGCCTGGGTAACAAGAGCAAAACTCCATCTAAAAAAAAAAAAGAAACTACCCAAAGAAGTCACAGAACTTACATACCACACTTTGAATCCCTAAATAGCAAATTTTGTTCCCATAGCTCCAGCATAAACAAACTTAGCCACAAAATTCCTACTTTCTAGTATCAGACTAGGGCCCTGATTTATTGTGTTTTCTAACTGCAAACAACTCTGTTAATAAAAAGCTACCAGTTAGGGTTTGCTATGCCAGTCACCCTACATAGATTACCTCTAATTTTTACAACTATGAAATATTCATGTTACTATTATCATTTTACAAACAAGAAAACTAAAACTCATAAAGTTATTTGCTAAGAAAATCTGGAGGGTTTGCACTTTGGAATAATATATTGTAACTGCTGGTCCTCTCTCAGCAAACCTGGGACATGACCAAAATTAGAGACACTCTAACCACACTTAGATCCTCCTGTTAACTGCAGAAATGCAAGAGCCTCCACTCCTTTCTCTACTGGAGCAATAGCACAGAGATCGCCATGGAGATTCCACAGACAAGCTGCTTTCTTGACTAAGCCAAAAATCAAATGAGATTCTTAACAATATGACTTACTGATTCTACAACCACGATTACATTCCTAAAGCCCCAATCATGACTTCCCTGCCTTCATGCACCTGTCTAATAAGTTGTTTCTTCTTTGCTGACTCTGGCATATTGTGAACATGTTGAAACAGCTCTCTCAGTGCCTCTTCCGTATGCTGCTGGGTCTCCTCCTGGTGAGGGCAGGAATCTATCCAGTTCCGCTTCTGAGACTTTGACAGCTGAAAGGACTTAGTATGACATGAAGCTATCAGGTCAAGGTCGTCCTAAAGAAAATTTAAAAGAGTAAATTAATATATCCTGCCAACTTTGTTTTCGGGTTCTTACAAAAACCTGAACAAAAAAAGAGAGAATGGGGATATGGTATACTCCTATACTCAGGAACAAGAAAAATTTTAACACTATTATCAGACAATAAGGAACCTATTAATATAGGTTATATTAATAGCCCACTCCCATGACCTGCCCAAAGAACCTAAGTGCATTTATAATACTGCCACCAAGAGTAATATATGTATAAGAGTTCAGTTTTAAAAGCTTTTTTAATTTCATTAATTTTCACTGCTTTTCAACAAGGTAAGCAGGGAAAGTATCATGATTCCCATCTGACAGAGGAGAAAAAAACTGAGGTTAAACTTTAAGTTTAAAGTCATCTGAGGCCGGGTGCGGTGGCTGATGCCTGTAATCCCAGCACTTTGAGAGGTCAAGGCAGGCCTGACCAAAGGAGGTAGGGAGTTCAAGACCAGGCTGACCAACATGGAGAAACACTGTCTCTACTAAAAATATAAAATTAGCTGGGTGTGGTGGCGAATGCCTGTAATCCCAGCTACTCAGGAGGCTGAGGCAGAAGAATCGCTTGAACCCAGGAGGCAGAGGTTGCGGTATGCCAAGATCACAACATTGCACTCCAGCCTGGGCAACAAAAGCAAAATTCCATCTCAAAAAATTAAATTAAATTTTTAAAAAATGGCCGGGCGCGGTGGCTCAAGCCTGTAATCCCAGCACTTTGGGAGGCCGAGGCGGGTGGATCACGAGGTCAAGAGATGGAGACCATCCTGGTCAAAATGGTGAAACCCCGTCTCTACCAAAAATACAAAAAATTAGCTGGGCATGGTAGCGCGTGCCTGTAATCCCAGCTACTCAGGAGGCTGAGGCAGGAGAATTGCCTGAACCCAGGAGGCGGAGGTTGCGGTGAGCCGAGATCGCGCCATTGCACTCCAGCCTGGGTAACAAGAGCGAAACTCCCTCTCATTAAAAAAAAAAAAAAAAAAAAAAAAAAAATTTTAAAAAATAAAAATAAAAATAAAGTCATCTGAATTCTAAAGTAACAGACCCACCTGAGAGCCTAGCGGCTCTGACTCTTGGCTAGTACTCCTTCCCACACATGAAAACTTAATATGACAACTAGACAGCAATGCTAGAGGAACAAAAACAGCTCTCTAAGAAAAACCACAATCCAGTTAAACTAGTTGAAATCAAATACTGTTTTCCTGGTCACAATGAATATTTGCAGAACAAGAGGGAAAAACAAATAGAAGCAGAAAAAATACTAAAAGTGGACAGCTTAAGTTTCTAATCAAGACAGGATAAATAGAACTTGAAACATTTAAGCACTTAAAAAGTGCTTGTACAGTTTTTAACTTCTCACTTTTTTTGTTTGTTTTTCACTTTTTTTTTTTTTTTTCAGAGCAGGAGTGGAAGTTTATTTAAAAAGGCTTAGAGGCCAGGCGCAGTGGCTCACGCCTGTAATCCTAGCACTTTGGGAGGCCGAGGTGGGAGGATCACGAGGTCCAGAGTTCAAGACCAGACTGACCAACATGGTGAAACCTCGTCTCTACTTAAAAAAATACAAAAATTATCTTGGCATGGTGGCTTATGCCTGTAATCCCAGCTACCTGGGAGGCTGAGGTAGGAGAATTGCTTGAACTGAGACCAGGGAGGCAGAGGTTGCAGTGAGTTGAGATCGAGCCACTGCCCTCCAGCCTAGGCTACAGAGGAAACTCCATCTCAAAAAAAAAAAAGGCTTAGAAAAGAAAAGGAACATATGCCTGGAAGAGACCCAAGCAGGCACATAAAAGTGAAGTGCCTAACTTCTCACTTTTTAAATTTTTTTTGAGATGGAGTCTCACTCTGTCACCCAGGCTGGAGTTCAGTGTCACCCTCTTGGCTCACTGCAACCTCTGCCTCCTGGGCTCAAGTGATCCGCCCACCTCAGCCTCCCGAGTAGCAGAGACTACAGGTGCATGCCACCTCGCCTGGCTAACTTTCTGTATTTTTAGTAGAGACTGGTTTTGACCATGTTGCCCAGGCTGGTCTTGAACACCTGAGCTCAAGTGATCCGCCTGCCTCAGCCTCTGAAAGTGCTAGGATTACAGGCATAAGCCACCATACCTGGCCATAAGTTCTCACTTTTAAAACTCAATAATCATATCTAGACTAGACGTGGTGGCTCATGCCTGTAATCCCAGCACTTTGGAAGGCTGAGGCAGCCAGATAACTTGAGCCCAGGAGTTTGAGACCAGCCTAGGTAACATGGTGAAACCCTGTCTCTATCAAAAATATAAAAATTAGCAGGCATGGTGTGCATGCCTGTACTCCCAGCTACTCAGGAGTCTGAGGTGAGAGGATCAACTGAGCCCAGTAGGCAGAGGTTGCAGGGAGCTGAGATCATGCCACTGCACTCCAGCCTATGCAACAGAGCAGGATCCTATCTCAAAAAAAAAAAAAAAAAAAAAAATCATTATCATATCTAATCTTCTTAATAAGCATTATATATTTCCCTATCTTTCTAAGCTCATCTGGTCTCAAATCTTTTAGCCATTTGATAGAGTTATACCATACCACTGAACCTAAAATAGGAATAAATTATATAAAACTGTCCTTTCTTCCCTATAAAATATTTAACACATTTCCTATTCACAGATTATTTCCATCAGAAGGACTTTATGAAAAAAACTTTAAACACAAGGTCTGTGTGATCACTCTTATGCAGAGGATACCATCTATCAGTGGAGAACCTCTGAAAGCAGATAAAAATAGTGTGTGGGGAGCTTTTTTTTTGTTAAGAGACAGGGCCTCGATGTGCTACCCAGGCTGGAGTGCAGTGGCACAATCAACTCACTGCAGACTTGGAACTCCTAGTTTCAATTGAGCTTCCCATCTCAGCCTCCAGAGTCACTGGGATTACAGGCCTAAGCTACCACACCTTGAATGTGAAGCATTTGTATTCTAACACATAACTTACTTCTTAGTCTTCTTCATTATGACAAAATGACTACGTAATTTTGAGCTATAACACTAAAAACTTCTTACTTTCCATGCTTTCACTTTGACTTCATCCTTCATTTTAAAACTCCACCAATCTTAACGCTCTCCTTGTTTGGGTTAAGAGCAGATCCTGTTCTTACCTTGGATGCCTGAGTTCTGGATCCCAAATAGTGCAATCTGGCACACTCCCGAATGTAAGCAGGAGCCTGGGCAGGACATAAAAGAAAACCAAAACTCAGTGATTAGTAGTATATGACATTCTTTCAGGCCACAACAACAATGGTTCTTAAAATCATTTGACCAGCAGATTACTTTAGAAAAGCCAAAGATACTCAAAATTCATAGCTTTTCCATAACTTCCTTTCTCTTGCCACCAAATAGATACCTCAACAAATCTGATGGAAAAAAACTGTGAGAAGACGCCAGTGTAATTGTTGCTGCTTTAAAAATCAGACATGGCATGTATATTCTCAAATAAGCCAAAGACAAAAATATAGACATTTGTAGGAATGTTTATATGTGACAAAAACCACCTCCTCAAATCCTTACAAATTACAAGTGGTGTCCAGATCACATTTTAAAATCACAGTGTAGAAAATATCATTGAACGGCCGGGCACGGTGGCTCAAGCCTGTAATCCCAGCACTTTGGGAGGCCAAGGCGGGTGGATCACGAGGTCGAGAGATCGAGACCGTCCTGGTCAACATGGTGAAACCCCGTCTCTACTAAAAAAAATACAAAAAATTAGCTGGGCATGGTGGTGCATGCCTGTAATCCCAGCTACTCAGGAGGCTGAGGCAGAAGAATTGCTTGAACCCAGGAGGCGGAGGTTGCGGTGAGCTGAGATCGTGCCATTGACTCCAGCCTGGGTAACAAGAGCGAAACTCCGTCTCAAAAAAAAAAAAAGAAAATATCATTGAACATCTGTAATCTCAGAACTTTGGGAGGCAGAAGCAAAAGGATTGCTTCACCCCAGGAGTTCCAGACCAGCCTGGGCAACACAGGGAGACCCCCCATCTCTACAAAAAATTACAAAAAGAAGGCCAGGCACAGTGGCTCACACCTATAGTCTCAGCACTTTGAGAGGCCAAGGCGGGCAGATCATCTGAGGTCAGGAGTTTGGGACCAGCCTGCCCAACCTGGTGAAACTCAGTCTCTACTAAAAATACAAAATTAGCCAGGCATGGTGGTATATGCCTGTAATCCCAGCTACTTGGGAGGCTGAGGCAGGAGAATTGCTTGGACCCGGGAGACAGAGGTTGCTGTGAGCCAAGATCGCACCACTGCACTCCAGCCTGGGCAACAAGAGCAAAACTCCATCTCAAAAAAAAAAATATTAGCCGGGCATGGTGGTGCATGCCTGTAGTTTCAGCTACTCAGGAGGCTAAGGTGGGAGAATCACTTGAGTCCAGAAGTTCAAGGCTGCAGTGAGCCATGTTCATACACTGCACTCCAGCCTGGGCAACAGAGCAAGACCCTGTCTCAAAAAAAAGAAAGAAAGAAAAAACAATTTAGAATTACTATGGAGTAGAATCCTGTGACAATTACCCTGATACTATCTTAGTAGATGTACAAAATCATACAACTACCATAGAGGAAAACTGGGTAGGTAAACATCTAATAAAATTGCATTTGCATTTACTCTTTGACACAGAAACCTCACTTCTGGTTACATATCCTGAATATGTAACTCCAGAAATGCAAAACACACTTGTAAAAAATTAATCAAATGGGCCAGGCGCGGCGGCTCAAGCCTGTAATCCCAGCACTTTGGGAGGCCGAGGCGGGCGGATCACGAGGTCGAGAGATCCAGACCATCCTGGTCAACATGGTGAAACCCCGTCTCTACTAAAAATACAGAAAAAAAATTAGCTGGGCATGGTGGCTCGTGCCTGTAATCCCAGCTACTCAGGAGGCTGAGGCAGGAGAATTGCCTGAACCCAGGAGGCGGAGGTTGCGGTGAGCCGAGATCGCGCCATTGCACTCCAGCCTGGGTAACAAGAGCGAAACTCCGTCTCAAAAAAAAAAAAAAAAAAAAATTAATCAAAAAATTGGATACAACCTATATGTTCTTTAATAGGGAACTGGTTGAATCAACTTTCATACATTCATACAATACAGTACTATGAAGAAAGGAAGGGAGAAGAGGCAGGGAGGTAAAGAAAGGAAGGAAAAGGAAAACAAGGGAAGGAAAGGAAGGGAGGGAGAGAAAAAGGACGAAGGGAAAAGGAAGAAACAACGAACTGAGGGGGGATTCTAGGATCTACTGTTGAGTGAGAAAAGTAAGTAAACATTTATTTGTGTAAGAAAAATAGAGAAATAGGAATATATACAGAAATATACATTTACTTGTTTTTATGAAAAGAAACACATTCTCTGAATAGGTGATAAATTAAAAAAAAAAAAAGAAACACTAAGAGGATAAACCAGAAAACAATGAAAATGGTTAAGGAAAGAACTGAGATTTCTCTAAATACACCTTTTAATGTGTTTTTGACTTTTGAACCATGTTTACAGTATAGATTTAAAACATAAAATTAAATCCAAAAGAAAAAAAAAGGTAAGCCCTAAAACGGAACACCAACAGGGAAAAAAAAACCATATCTGTGTATCAAACTGACAACGTGAGCACAGAGAAAGAAAATCTCAGATAATTTTTGAAAACTGTATTCTGAGCCAGGCACGGTGGCTCACACCTGTAATTCCAGCACTTTGGGAGGCTGAGGCCGGCAGATCATCCAAAGTCGGGAATTCGAGACTAGCCTGACCAACATGGAGAAACCCTGTCTCTACTAAAAATGCAAAAATAGCTGGGCATGATGGCACATGCCTGTAATCCCAACTACTCAGGAGGCTGGAGCAGGAGAATCACTTGAACCTGGGAGGCAGAGGTTGTGGTGAGCTAAGATCGTCCTATTGCATTCTAGCCTGGGCAACAAGATAAAACTCCATTTCCAAAAAAAAAGAAAAGAAAACTGTATTCTGACTGTATATCCTTAGTGGGATATATTCAAGAAAAAAGGAATTGAAGGAATATCTTAAACTTCAATAAGCAAATTTATATAGGTTTACTGTTAGTAGTAACAGTGTATTATTTTGAAATTAATTTAAGTATATTGAAGGACAGAGTAAATAATATATACAAATGCCATTAAAATCTAAAATTTGGCTGGGCACAGAGGATCATGCCTATAATCCCAGCACTTTGGGATGCCAAAGTGGGTGGATCACTTAAGCCTAGACCAGCCTGGGCAATATGGTAAAACCCCATCTCTACGAAAAATACAAAAATTAGCCAGGTGTGGTGGCACCACCTGTGGACCCAGCTACTCAAGAAGCTGAGGTGGGAGGATGGATTGGTCCCAGGAGGCAGAGGCTACTGTGAGCCCAGATTGTGCTACTGCACTCCAGCCTGGGTGATGGAGCAAAACTCTCCAAAAAAAAAAAAAGAAAAAAAACATGAAATTTAAAATATAAGAAAAAAAGAAATACAAAATACAAATACAAAATAAAAGAAGCCAAGAAAAAGCTCTGTAGCATTAAATCTGAATTGGTGGTATTAATATGAACTTACAATTGGTTTAAAAAAAATTTTTTAATCTATTTCCTTGCCCTCAAGGAGTCTAGAAGCAATGACACACCAGAAACAATGAGTATTCCTAGTGTCACTCAGAAACCAAGGTTCCCTGGAGAAAGAATTACTCCAGACCTAGGCCAGCATGAGCACAAAGTGAGCTGGGAACATTTTATACCAGAAAGGAAACACTCAAAGACAATATAGTCCTGTCAAAAAGATGCAGAAGCCGCTTAACAAGGGCTATCACTGGCCAAATCTGGGATGATTTAAATATCAATTTTGTTTGTTTGTTTGTTTGTGACAAGGTCTCACGCTGTCACCCAGGCTGGAGTGCAGTGGCACAATCTCGGCTCAGTGCAGCCTCCACCTCCTGCGCTCAAGCCATCCTACCACCTCAGCCTCCAAGTAGCTGGGACCGCACGACTGTGTCGTCATGCCCAGCTAATTTTTTGTATTTTTGGCAGAGATGGGATTTCACCACATTGCCCAGGCAAATATCAACATTAAAAACAAAACTAACACTTTGAAAAAATTAAAATCCATGAGTTTATATTAATATTCATTTTTAAAGAGAGAGAGAGAATGAGACAAAGAAAAGCTATTATCCAAAGAAGAAAGTCAGCTAATAAAGGCTGAATGACAAAATTAGAAAATCGTTGTTTTTAATACCCAATGTAATCATAGACTCCAGCAGGATTATCAATGGATGCTAAAACCATTATTAGGTAATCACTCCACAGGTTATTTACTAATTGCAAAGGGGAAAAAAAAATGTACCTTTATAACTGAAAGATCTGGCAGTTAGCAAAACTACCATCATGAAGAATGAGAAAATGGAACAATCTGTGCCTCCTCATATGAGGCAACGTGATACACACAAACTTCACCTATGAAGTATCTTTGCCAAAAACGCTTCATCTGAATCTAATTAAGACTCTAGACCTAGCTTCTAGTTTGCAGGAACTACATGGAAGGTGATACAAGAACACGTTAAATAACTTGAGAAAACAATAATTTAGAATGGGGACATTCTACAACACAGTTAACTTGATGCTTCAACAAATCAATGACATGAAGAAAAAGCATGAGTGTGCAGATTAAAAGTGTCATAATAATCAAAAGCAGCACAGAAACTTTGATTGGCACATGTTGAAAAAAAAGTATGAAATACATTCTTATAACAGCTGGGGAATTTGAATATGTACTGAAAGTTAGATGACACAAAATTCTTATTAGTTTCTTAGATGTGATAAGAGTAGTATGGTTCTTAAGAGAATATTTTTATTATTAGGATATGCAAACTTAAGTACTTAGGAAGAAAGTATCATGGTCTGCAATTACTTTTAGTGATTCAGCCAAAAAAAGTCTGAACATATATAGAGAGCAATAAAGCTAATATGGCAAAATGATAACATTTGTTGGCAGGGGAGGGGAAGGGAGGAACAAAAAAACCACCATCCCCAAAGATACTATGAGCTAAAAGAACATCCAGAAAGGAAGCTAGGCTTAGACAAATAGGCTTACATGAAAATCTGAGGTCTTAAGCATTTTACAATGCATAAAGAAACAACAAAAGAACTGCTCAAGTAAAATGGAAATTGGCCTTAACTGTATATACATGAGAAATCC